CAAAGCATTAGGAGCAAACAATAGAACGTTTTTTGAAATCCGGACAAAGGCAGTGGTGAAAATTTTGCGTATTTTGTGTTGCAAATGCGATTATTTTCATAAACTGGTCAGCACAATTGTGGAAGAACTGATATCGTTTATGCAGAAAGTGAAATTGAGAAGGATTGACGTAGGAATAACGAGGAAATTAAGTGGAAAATTTTGAAGGCGGACTTAATATTCGAGGGCATAAATTGCACTTGCACCGTTAATGAAACACAAGGTCAGACACTCACATTGATATTTCCATAGACTTACATTATAAGAAATGGTCCCTAATCCTACCTTAAAATTGAGTTTTCATGCTAAAGAGGTAGTTTTCCTTGCAGAATGAAATGCCTGACACATAAAAATGTTCCTGTTATATAGGGGTAGCCAACCAAATTTTTTGCAAAATGACTTCAAAGAGGATTACCCCCCATTTCATTGAAATTTTCTGCTGATCACAGGACTGACATACACTTTTTATAAATGCAAATATCCAAGTCAAAATTATCACAGAGACTCATGAAATATTTCATTTTCTTCAGGAAACAATGTAGTGTTACTTTTTAAATTAGTTTTTATACTTAAAAATACCCCACTTTCATCCAATCACCTCATGTATAAATTGACTCATACGGTTTTCCCTGCACTTTTTTTTAGCCAATCGCTGGCCATGTTACAATGCGATTCCCTGACCACAAGTGAAGTATGTAGCCTGGAACCCCGTTGTATCGATCTATTTACCCTAGTCCAACTAATTAGACTTGTCAAAGAGACACCGAGATAATTTTGGACGGGCGCTGTCTTTTTCCAAGTCCAACCACGAACTGCATTTTTATGCACGGACGCTTCCCAATTAGAAGTTGTTGGGAGCGAAAACTAGAAAAGATTCAAAGAAACGGTATACATTACCTGAAAGAGAATCGTTTTTCATGCAAGGTTCCAAATTATCATACTTCAAAGTCGAACAGAAGTCTAAATATTCCACTTTAATTTTTTAATCGTTGAATGTTATTGAAATCGGCCATATTGGAAAGCGGTGTCATGGTAAAATCCATGGTGTAACACAGGTATCGGCGGCGATCGATTGTATTTGCCAAGCTTTATTATACAATTTGTTTATGTTATTTATATGAATTATTGCAGGAATTACTCTTTTATTCACACACAAATATTTCAGCATTAAAAAGAGAATGTGAAAAGAAAATTCTGATAACCTTACTTACAAATTAAATAGTTTATGATGTCATATCATACTGGATTTTTTAACATCTGTGATCATTAGGTGAAATTTCTGAGCTACCTTTTTATTTTATAACCCTGCCATGATTTCCCACAATCGAAAATACAATGTAATTGTAGGTACATCTTAATGAATTATAATTATACTATACATGATGAAGCAAAGAAGAATTTCAATTTATATTACACTCCATATCAATTTCTAGTTTATTATCTTTAAAAGAAATTGAGGACGGTTGTGAAGGGGAAGAAGTTCAAAACAACCAAAAATAACTTTAAAATTCCGAAAAAAAAATCTTAAAATTTCAAACTATAAAATGGAATTTCAGACAGTCCTCAGTAAAATACAATTGTCGCACAGATTTGACGGGGTTTATGATAAAAACGCAGCAAGAGGAAATTTAGAGACCGTTATTTAGACGTTGAATAGTATAACAATGTAAGACAGATGGGAGAAATGTTAGAACGACTGTCGCAAAAGGACACCAAAACCTCTGATACCCATTAAAAATTCCATGTTGTCTAGTTCCCGTTGAACGGCACCTCGAATGTGTCACATTGAAAGTTCCATGATTACCGCCGTATTATGTACACATTTGTGGATGTTGATTAAAAATTTCAACATTATTATGTTTCAGTGGTCAATTCCGTTTAAACCGGCGAAAGGGAGCACTTGCACCTACCAGAGCCGTCTTTGGCACTCCTGTGTATTTATGTTTCGATTTTGCAGTTTCAGGCGTTTTTGGTGGGCTTTTTTTTTTCGAGGGTGGATACATGAATGTGGATAAGTTTTTTCTGTTTCTTTACATTTCTTTGCTTGCTTGCCGAACCTTGTATTGATAATCATTATCTGTTTGTTACGGTTCGGTATACATGTATACAATATGATAAACAAGATGAACAAGGAAAGGCGGCGTTCAATGAACGCAACTCCCACACGACCCAGGAACATGAACCATTGGCAAGGAGCCCAGGATGATTCTAAATTAAAACGGGACAGGGCGCAAGGGAGGGCACGGTCAGGCTTATCACTAAAATGTAACTGAGAAGGAAATCAAAGAAAATAAATAAATGAATGATTAATAGGACCACTAAGTTAACGAGCACAGGGGAAGGGGATAGGAAATTCGGGGAGGGGGCGAAATAAAGAAATAAAACTAGGAGCAAAGGGAAGATACTTACCATAGACGAGAAAACAACAAGGGACACAAACAAAAGTGTCACCAAAACAGTATGAAACAATAAGACATACACCTTATACATTTATAAGTCTTAATCTGTTCATTTGAAAAATCTGATCTTCTCAATGACTTTTTTTAATATCCTATATAAAAAGATTTATTTCAATTAAAATATGTGACCCTTCCTTTATAGTTACACAGCATATTGCTGGATCACAATAAAGTTCCTTTTTAGTAAATTAATAAAGTATGTCAAGAAGACATTTAACTTTATCAATAGGTTTAATATGGTATTATACATCGGCAATCGGTGAAAAGGAGCTCTTGAAATATTATTTGTACAAATACTGAATAATTTGAAGTGTATTTCAAATAGTTTCCTTCAATATTTCTTTTACGTTCTTAATTGTCATATAAATATGCATGTATAAATAAAGTCAGTATTTTATCCGAGAGTGACATTTGGCAGTCATTAGCAGTAAACAAGAAGGCAAACCACCAATTGATAAATGTTGAGTACATGTATTAAAATATTTAAAAAATATTAAACAACAGGACCATTGCATTTTAGGTTAAATACAATGATACTTTTCAATAGCATTTAATAATGCACACATTTATTAAAAAATGATGAATAGATTTATTTCCCCCGATATTTTGTTTAATTTAATCTTCATGCGTAATCCACACTTACCTGCTAGACACACTGGTAGCTACTACCAGCTTTCACGGAATCGATTTTTTACGATGACGTCCTAACATGTCCGCCGAAGATAGAGTAGACAGTACAAATTTGAAATAAATCGCATGTATGCGTTAAGACAGGTACAATCTAATATTTTTTCTAGGAGAAGTTAGTACTAAAATTTATATTCTATTGATCTTTAGAGGTAATTGAAGTTACTTTTAGGTTTAAGCAGTAAAAATCAGTCCAAACTATCGATAGTGTTACCGGTAGATTTTCCGTACGTAAAAATGACAGTTAAAATTAGGCGTAACGGTTTGACAGTAAGAAAAAAAAAGTGTAAAATGGGTCAAACCGATCACGCCGAATTAATTAGGCTATATTTGCCCATAAATCACAACTGCATTTAAAAGATTCAAATCTCCCTGAATATTTATTTTGTATCATTTATTTTGATCCTTTGCCATAATATTTACATGGCAAACATCACAGATATATAGTTTTTAGCTTTGGAATATACGGATATTTACAGACATGTCAAACAGGTTGATGAATTAGGTCACGCCATTATATCGATGCATTGTGAGAATCGCTCAGTTAGCCAAAGTTTGGGAAGCCTTAACCATCTTTATGTTAGATATTTCAGTCAATTAGAAACATAGATGTCTGTTTTAAAATGACAGCATAAATTTAAGAACTTTTAACAGACAGTAAATGTACTTTTAATAAGAACACATTATTTATAAGTCTATTTATTATCTACAACGTCTTACGGTACTGGAAACATGTTTTTGATCATTTTACTTCACAAAATAAATGCGAAAGATTTTCGTGACACTGTTGTAAATGTTAACAATCAGTAGGTGACGTATTTTGCAAAAAATCTAAAGATTTGTAAATAGATCGATACAATGAATAGCACGATACAATGGGGTTCCACTATACGTAATCACCGGGTCGATTGACATTGTAATTGGTTTTCGTGACCATCCAAATTTGGAAATACAGACTCGGTCTGAATTATTCTAGACTCTTTGGGAGACTTGTTGACAATAGAACGCAAATATATGGAATATGGCGAGTGGTGGAAGTGAAAGCGAGGCTGTAAGCTAAGTGAATGCGGCAATGGCAACTAATCCTGTTGCCCCTGTAGACTCGCCCGTTAGAGATTAAAAAAGTGCGTAACTATAATATCATATCGCAATTTCTGTTCCTAAAAAAATTGATGTGTAATATGTAATAAAAAGAATCAAACACCAGCTATCGGTAAAGACGGAAATATCTAGCTCTTTGGTAGCTGTTTAGCATGGTGGCTGATTTATGCCAGGTCGTATTTTTGCATTTTCGCCTCAAAATGTTGGACTGTTGGAAAGTGTAATAATGCGAGAATGTAACAATTCAAAAAGCAAAAATGTAACGAATGCGAAAATGCAACAATGTAACATTGCGAAAGAGCGCCGAAAATATGGCAGATGGTACACAAATATACAACATATTTTGTGTCATATCTCCACCTACCTGTCGTATTTCGCTGTATTGCTTCAAAAATCAGAAAAAACGAAAACACAAATAGACGACACACTTTGTCGTCCCATCGTGTTTTAACATTATGAGGTGAAGAAGGGAAAATATGACATGGCATTAATCAGCCACCATAGTTTAGGGTTAACTCGGCAGTAAACAGTTATCCTCAGGTCTGTACCGGTGTCGCGTTATATTCACACGGGCGTAATATTACCACGGATTGTACATGCTTTTTAAAACTTCCGGCTGTGACACGGATAATTTTGATCTATTAAAAAAAATCTTTATCGTAAAATGATATTTTTCCATTTGAACAAGTATAATTGATCTAAGAAATAATAAAACAAAATTATGAATAGACGCTTGTTTTTTTCTCAATTCCCTGCAATTATTTTTTTCAGGATGCTCCTGTGTGTTGGATAACAAAAGTATATGTAAAAATGAAATACAATTATTTGACACAATTTATTTCCGAAAACAATATTATTAATTCTTGTATGTTTGGTTAAATATAAAACCCTGCGTGCGATTATCACGGCTTGACTGTCGCAGGCGGTTTATACATTTTCCAGAGATATTGTTTAACATCAAAGCATTTTAAAAGTTTGCATAAACTTTCAGCTGAAGACACATGGAGACACAAAATTGATTTCTGAGGAAATAGTATTATACTTTACATACATTGTAATTCAAATTTGTTTGATTTTATATATAATTTCTTACGAATGGCCGTTATTACTTCGGCGCGATATAATCAAACACTATTCTAATTTCTAATACAGATTATACATTTCGATAATATAAGTAGCTCTATGTGATTGCACTTTTATTGATAACCATTATTTAATGTTATAACTTACCTTCAAGATTTGTTAAGATAATGTTATTTTAATTAAAGAAAAATGACACATCAATGATGGTCTGCAAAATATAACAAATTCGCATAGCTATTATCAAAATTTAAAATCACAACCGTCTTGAACACTGACTGAAATCACAATTAATAAAACATATTAAAAAGAAAGACTAAAACCTTTTTTTTTTTAAATTTATTTATCAGAACATAATTATAATTATTCATAACGAAGGTTGTCATATTTAAAAATCGCTGCAATACATGCTTTTTAAAACACTTCCGTGTGTTCGAAAATTAATGTATTCCCACAAAAGTTATACCATTAGGTGCGGAATTCATTTTGAAATAAAATGGTATATAATTAAAATATTTTGGAGTAAATTTAAGACGGTACGTGTGATTCTAACGGCACTACCCCTAACCGTGTGATTATTACGCCGCCGCGTAATAATCACACGGGTGTGATAATTACGCGACACCGGCAACCAGTGTAAGTTATAGTAGCCATGGAATACGGGAAATTAGACAGTAACAAGAACTTAGATCAGATATCGAAAATCGTAATTCACTGATCAATGCTAACTTCTTGTTACTAAATTAGAATGATGTTCATTATATTAAGCTGTCGTGTACATTTGAGTATCAATAGTGTTATTATAAATATGAACTGAAAGTTTAACATGTCTACCTATCTATAGATAATTTATGATTTCAGGCATTGAATATCTTTTTATATACTTTTTTAAACATAAAAAAGAAGAAAAAGCAGTGTTATTTTATGAAAACAATTGCATTTATTTGCAATTTAGATCAAAATGTATATAAAAAAACCATAGCTTTTTATTTTTGACATATCTTAACGAAGATTGTATAACAACTTTATATGATACTAAACAATCTTCCTCAATATGTGATATTATTCTTTAGCATTTTACATATTTTTTCAGGTTTGGCTCGGAGCTTTGAAGACACGCTTATGAACGTAATGTTTTAAGTGGGAAAGACAAAACAAGCAATGGCTTCATATAGCCCTAACCTGGTAGAAAAGAAATACAATAACTGGGTTAAAGCTCAGTTAGCCGTTTTGTTTACTAAAGAAGGAGTTGAACCTTTTGTTTGTAATGAAATCCAACAATTTCAGTTAAAATGTTTACATGATATATGTTACCTAAATGGCTTATTTAGTGGGACCTGTTGTTCAAGTTGTTGTACGGAAAATCTTGTAAAGTGTCCGACAGCTCGAGTGTGTAATATTGGGCGTGGGAAATGTACGTTTCATCGAAATGTGACAACACGGTACAATTCTTCTGGTTGTCCTAACAAGATATGTCATAAGTTCAAAACTGAAATACAGAATGCACATAGATACAACGGTCCGTCGTACAAAAACACTGATGCTACCCAATGGTGCAGTAATTCCTGGGAAGTTGCGAAATGTTTCATGCCCCCAGATGGGTATAAAGACAAGGCATCTGCCACAGAAACAGACTTCAATGGGATAATCAGCGTTATCCTTAATTACAAAGACTTCCAGGGAAAAGTACATGAGAACCTCAATAATAAGATAAATATATTTGAAGAGGTAGACAATATTTCGATACTATTTAATAATATAAAGACTTATATTTGAGAACTTGCTTATAAAACAGAAAAAAAGATTAATATATATTTTTTTAGCTCACCTGTCACAAAGTGACGGTGAGCTTTTGTGATCGCTTTTCGTCAGGCGTCTGTCCGTCGTCCGTACGTAAACTTTTACTTTAAATGACATCTCCTCATAAACCACTGAGCCAATTTCATCCAAACTTCACAGGAATGTTCCTTTGGTGGTCACCTTTAAAAATTGTTCAAATAATTTAATTCCATGCCGAACTCTGGTTGCCATGGCAACCGAAAGAAAAAAACTTTAAATATCTTCTTTTAAAACAACATAAGAGCTAGAGCTTAGATATTTGGCATGAAACATCTTCTAGTGAGTGTCTACCAAGTTTTTTTAAAAAAAAAGCCCTGGAGTCAAAATTGGCCCCGCCACAGGGGGTCATTGATTTTTCCTTTATGCATATAGTAAAAACTTAAAAAATCTTCTTTTAAAGAACCCAAAGAGTTAGAGCTAAGATATTTAGCATGAAACATGTTCTAATAAGTGTCTACCAAGTTTGTTCAAATAAAAGCCCTGGGGTCAAAATTGGCCCCGCCCCGGGGGGTCATTGATTTTCCATATATGCATATAGTAAAAACTTAAAAAAATCTTCTTTTAAAGAACTCAAAGAGCTATGGCTAAGATATTTAGCATGAAACATGTTCTAATAAGTGTCTACCAAGTTTGTTCAAATAAAAGCCCTGGGGTCAAAATTGGCCCCGCCCCGGGGGGTCATTGATTTTCCATATATGCATATAGTACAAACTTAAAAAAATCTTCTTTGAAAGAACTCAAAGAGCTATGGCTAAGATATTTAGCATCAAACATGTTCTTATAGGTGTCTACCAAGTTTGTTCAAATAAAAGCATTGGGGTCAAAATTGGCACCGCCCCGGGGGTCATTGATTTTTCTTATATGTGTATAGCAAAAACTTAAAAAATGTTCTTTGAAAAAAACCAAATAGCTAGAGTTAAGATATTAAGCATGAAACATCTTTTAGATCTTTTAGTGAGTGTCTACAAAGTTTGTTCAAATAAAAGACCTGGGGTCAAAATTGGCCCCGCCCCGGGGGTCATTGATTTTCCTTATATATGTGTATAGCAAAAACTTAAAATCTTCTTTGAAAAAACCCAAATAGCTAGAGTTTAGATATTAAGCATGAAACATCTTCTAGTAAGTGTCTACAAAGTTTGTTCAAATAAAAGCTCTGGGGTCAAACTGGCCCGGCCCCTGGGGTGTCATTGTTTTTTAACTATATGTGTATAGTAAAAACTCAAAAAAAAAATCTTCTTTTAAAAAGCCCAATGAGCTAGAGCTTAGATGTTTAGCATGAAACATCTTCTTATAGGTGTCTACCAAGTTTGTGCAAATAAAAGCCCTTGGTTTAAAATTGGCCCTGCAACGTTGGGGGGGGGGGGGGGGGCTTTATACAGGTGAGCGACCTCAGGGCCATCATGGCCCTCTCGTTTATGATCTAATGAATTAAACACTACTGTATGATATCTATTATAATAAATTGAGATTTTATCACGCTGTCTGGAAATACACTAGTAATGAACTAATTTTACTTCTGTTTAACAATATGCTAGTTTACAGTATATTTCATTACTGAGTATAAAGCTAAATTTTTGCTGCAAAACGAATATTTCTAAAATGCCTGTAAGACAGAAATATGCATTTTCTTTAAAAGCGAATGGTGTTTGTACAAAAAACATTGCTACATAGTTAAAGCTACATGCTTCAAGATGAGCCAAAAATATTTTTCAAGAATATCAACGTGTTATGTGGGATAAATATCTGATCTTTCAGTATTTATTATCACATTTCTTCTGCGTGACTAACGTATTTTTCAAAATTATAATTTCAAATAGCAAGAATCTGGAGGCATACGGCTATAAGTATCTTTTTTTAGATGTCGGCATAATATTTCATATAATATTTTTTTCCGGAATATTTAATTCTTTCTTTTTACCCACAACATTCAACAGACATGAACTTTACATCACTTTTAACAAAAATAGCATTTCTGTGCCCCTACTTTAGTGGCGGGCATTTAGATTTACCCTTGTCCTTCCGTCCGTCCGTTCACTTTTGTGTCGCATGTAACTCAAAATGTATTTGACAGAGAGTCATGAAACTTTACAAGAATGTTGGTCAGCATTTGTAGTTGTGCACCTGGATATTTTCGTCTGGATATTTTTCGTATTTTTAGAGTTATTGCCCTTGACTTTGTAAAATTTTGCAATTTACAACTTGTGTCGCAAACAGGAATGTTGATCAGCATTTGTAGTTGTGCACCTAAGGTTTTCGTCTGGATATTGTTAGTATTTTTAGAGTTATTGCCCTTGATTTAGTAAAATTTTACAATTTTCAACTTGTGTCGCATGTAACTCAAAAAGTATTTGACGTATAGTCATGAAACTTTACAGGAATGTTGATCAGCATGTGTAGTTGTGCATCTAGGTATTTTCGTCTGGATATTTTTAGTATTTTTAGAGTTATTGCCCTTGACTTAGTAAAATTTTGCAATTTTCAACTTGTGTCGCATGTAACTCAAAAAGTATTTGACCTAGAGTCATGAAACTTTACAGGAATGTTGATCAGTATGTGTAGTTGTGCACCTAGGTATTTTCGTCTGGATATTGTTAGTATTTTTAGAGTTATTGCCCTTGACTTAGTAAAATTTTGCAATTTTCATCTTGTGTCGATGTAACTCAAAAAGGATTTGACATAGAGTCATGAAACTCTACAGGAATATTCATCAGCATGTGTAGTTGTGCACCTGGTTATTTTCAATTGGATTTATTTAGTATTTTTAGAGTTATTGCCCTTGACTTAGAACATTTTTGCAATTTTCAACCTGTTTCGCATGTAACTCAAAAAGGATTTGACATAGAGTCATTAAACCTTATGAGAAGGTTGCTCAGCATATTTAGATTGCACCTTGGGTTTCGCTTGTGGATTTATCCAGTATTTGTAGAGTTATTTCCCTTGACTTAGTAAAAACCGTGTCATTATGTTGTTATTTGTTCTTATAGTTAGATTCCACCAACTTTACAGGAATAATGATTAACATCACTAAATTACAGGAATAATGATTCACATCACTGTGAAGCTATGAACCTGGAACTTTGCATGTAGATTTTTTTCAGTTTTGTTAGAGTTATTGCCCTTGACTTACAGTAGTATAATTTGCAATTTTTAACTTGTTCATGCATAGTTCAAAAAGTATTGTAGGCCTGAAAGTTTACAATAATGTTGGTCAGCATGCGCCTTGGGGTCTGCTTGTAGATTTATTCAGTATTTGTAAAGTTCTTGCCCTTTACTTAGTAAAAGATTTTTAGTTTTCAAAAAATATTTGACCTAGAGTCATAAGATTGACAGAACAGTGGCGCGGTGGGGGCACCCGTGTCCTATGGACACATTTCTAGTTATTAATTTCATTGTTAATACATTTTAAGATAATATATTTGATACAGCTTTATATCACATAGATGATAAAGCTTTATATCACTAAGATGTTTTAGATAAAATCAAATAAGAACTGTTATTCTATTTTGACCAGGCAAGAGAAATTGGAAGAAATGTTCAACATTCATCAAAACTTGAAGTTGAAGATCAAGATCTTCAGAAATATTTCAAAATATTACAGCATCTACTTTCTGACCCCGTGTATTTATCTACTGACAAGCATGCGCAGAATGCAAAACGGAAACTTATACAGGTGATTAAACTAATTTATTACTAAACACGTTACATATTTTGTTGTATGACAGTGCATTTCGTTAGAAATCTACGTAAAAGTATACAAATCTAATTAGATAATCTTTAATGAATTTGTAAACAAATCAAGTTGTTTCCATGATTGAAAATACTGTTTCCCTTAAATTATGGTCAATTCTTAGAAGCGTTACATAGAGTGCCTGTTGTTTGCTGAACACGAATATTGTGCATAACATAATAAAATGCTACGGGGAACAAAACAGTCTGCTGTTATTGTTATTAAATGTTGACCACTTCGCAATGGCTCGAAAGGGAATATACAAACATCATTTTTTTTTTCATAAATAAAATTTTATAACCTACTAGGAGTGTTAAAAATGCTCTCCGACAGATACAAAATAAAGTAAGAAAATTCAATTAAACACACCGCAATAATTCTTCTATGCTGAAGCTTTTTGCTAATTTTCAGAACGTTTTGTTTGTAAACAAACCTGGTTACGCTCTTGTGGCTATCATGCGGGACAAGAACAGACACTTATTTTGTTTACTAAAATTGCAATGTTTTGTTTTATACATTTTAACCTATCATAATTTTGATCAGCATACAATTTACAATTCAGTGATGACAAACAATGCACACGTACTTGTTGTAGATACAATATATCTTTAAAATGTACACTTAATGATTAACAAATAGTAAATTCTTATGTACAAGTGTATTAATTGATGTTGTATATTTTATGGCCTTCAAAATTACAGTTGGAAAATGGCACTCTTGTCATAGGTAAAGATGATGTAAGAAAAATACTAGATGATGTTGAAACAGCACTTCAAGACAAGATGAAGGATGGGTTAGATAATCAATATGACAAAATTAAACAAGATATGATTAGAAGAAAACAAGAAGATCTTCTTTCTCTTGAGTCTCAATTTGCCAAGGGAATTATACAGATACAAGATAGAACTGCTGCTCCTGTGAAAAGATTGAATGACGAAAGGGACACAGAAGTTGATATAATTCAAAAACGAGGAGAAAGAAAACGAAAAGATCTGGCAGAATTAGGAGAGACTTTACAAAAGAAACTGAAAACAGCAAATAAAGCCGAGAAAGAAGAACAATATTATATTGATTCTAAACAAAGTAAGTGATAAAAAATTTATCTCATGACATCATTTCTTTTTCATTATTCCTGAATCATCATCATTTTTTCTGAATTAAATTCTCATTGTACTCCATTTAGCCTTGCTTTTATTTTCCAAGTCCAAATCAAACCCATAATAAATCTATTGTGTACACCGTCTAGTCTCATTTCATTTTCCGAGTTCCAAATGTTCAGATCAAGTATATATAGTACTCAAAGTGACTTCATCTGTAATTTACCATTGTTATAATAAAATGTTGATCTTTAAGTATTATACATGCATATACCGATTTGTATACTTCGTAACGCTATTGTAATTTGTATGATCTATGCAAACAAAACAAAACATTCTGCATAATTAGTGTCAAAGTTGAAGCCGACGAGTCTAACCAGCCGTTTTATTTGTATGGAAACCACACTTATACAAACATCATACAAGTACTAAGTACAACTTTATATAACTGTTACACTGTATATATCTTATTACATATTTATTTATTTTGTGTCGTATACAAAGTCTTATCCGAAACATTGAAGTAAGTAGGCACCTGAATTTTCTCTGAACTTGTATTATATTGAAAGACATGTCACTGAAAATTATTTTTTTACTTTCTTTTCAGAACTTCAAAGAGACCTGATAAAATTTTACAGACAAAGATGTAGTTCAATATCTCTCTCACCGCTTTTTGAAGAAATAGAGACACCTTTAACTGGGTTCTACGTGATGCCAGATATGGTCGCCGTAAAACGGAAGTCCCTAACTTGTCATGAGGATGAGAGAACACCGATCAAGTCTTTGAAAGACCTGTTTTCAACCGGTGCGGGTAGTGGAGATCAGCAAGAAATTTATCTATTAGCTGATGCAGGCTTTGGAAAAACTGCTTTCTCAAAATATCTTGCAATCACGTGGTGTCAAGCTCATCGGCACGATGAAAACTACGCCTGTTTTAAAGACGACGAGTTAAAAACGTTATTTGACTTTGAGTTCATATTTTTGGTTTTATTGAGAGACTGTACCTCTGTTTGTAACATTGACGATATGATCGAACATCAAATTACTAAGACACTTCCTTCATCAGCATCACTCGATGAAGTTTTACGTAGAGAAAAATGTTTGATTATATTGGACGGTCTTGATGAATGGACTCACCCTGATAATAGTTGTAGTGAAGTAACAGAAAAAATACCACATCGGTACTTACGTAATAATTGTGTTATCCTAACGACAACTTCACCGTGGAAACTTGGAGTTTCAAATCTCAAAACAAGTCAAATACACAAAAAAGTAGAATTGGTTCAATTAAGTGCGGATTCTACGCGGCAACTCGAAGAAAATGCTATAAGAAAAATGACCGGTGTCCGTGACGATAGATTACTGAAGAGTAAAACACAGGACTTTAATAGAGTGATACGTGACCGTGGCCTAGAGCACATGCAAGTGATTCCACTCCTCCTCTTGTATATAGTTTACCTTTGGTGCAACAACATTCCAGTAGGAAATTCAAAACATGGAATTTACACCAATATCATTGAATTTCTATTATCGAGAACGTCAAAGAAGCATCCAGAAATTCAACCGTCTCGTGTATTGTCCGCCAGTGAAATTCCAGAATACTTCAAAAGTCATGAATTTTGTAAAAAGTTTTACAGTCTTATAACATCATTAGCGGAACTAGCTTACCAAACACTTTATAACGAAACAAGAGAAAATGCGCTGGTATTTGATACAACGGTTGCTGAATTATATCTCAAATCAGACGACATAAAATTAAGTCTTCTGTCAGGAATACTGTCAGAAAGTAGAAGTAAAACTTTAATGAAAGAAATTATCAAAGTATCGTTTTCTCACAAAACAGTTCAAGAATTCTTTGCCGCCATATCTATAAGTTCTCAAAGTGACGTTCAGAAAAATGTTGTAGAAAAATGTAGAAATGTTCAAGACATCCTGGACATGTCAAACATTTGTGAATTTATAAGTAAAATGAATGCTAACTCGATGTGTGAAATATCAAATGATTTGATGACTGTGATAAATGAAGACGAGGAAACACGCATCTATAGACCTAGGACAGGTGACGAGGACATGTACAATACTCCATTGTTATAACATACAGAAAATGTTCCTGTCGTGTTTACAAAAAATGCCTGAAAGTGAAAATATTCAATTATGTTTACAAGACGTCTTCATTGACCCGTACACCGAACACAGTGAGCAGTTACAACGTCTGTTAAAACAAAATATATCTAATATAAAATCACTTTATATATACACCAGCACTACTTCCAGCAGCAGAGAAATTATTGATTTTTTATCTATCACAAACCTTAGTCATATACAGAAACTTTACTTTGATGGTGGCAGGATGAAGGAGGCTGAGATAAATCTCTTTCTATTTTGTGTAACCTTAAATACATTACAATGTTTGAATATATGTAGATTCACATTATCTCACAAAATACTGGAAATAATTTTAAATTTTATCTCCGGTCAAAAATCAATGAAAAGGATATCATTGAGGAAGTTAGACTGTAAAGAACATGGCGGCCATGATTGTAAGAGATTGAACTTGGACTTGTCTCAACATTCAACGATATCAGAGTTAACCTTGTCATGGTTATCTTTGAGGCTACATTTAAATATATCAACACCGTCATTAGTTAATGTTACGTTGTCGGACATCAAGCTAGATGAAAGTTCCGTGTTACTGTCACGTGACATGTTGAATATTGAACGTGTGGAGTTGTTGGATGTAGAAATGTCTGCAGAAAGTTTACGAAACTTTATTACCGTGTTGGAAAATCTGCCACAGTCAGTTAAAGTAAGGATGAGAGACATACAACCGAAAACAGAATATGGACGTGTTAGAGAAAATATTCGGAAATCACAAAGTTTTCATGTGGTACAAGACAACTGGTCGGGGTTTGCGTTCAAAACAAGAAAACCAAGTAAAGAATAAACAAATGAAAATCATTGTACAATAAACTGAATAAATAACTTCAATAATTTTAAATGAAAACAGAAATTTAAAGATGGACACTTAGAAACAAAATGGCGACCTTCAAACTACACTATAGTCTGTAATTAGGACATTCATGTACTTCTGTGTTCAATTAATAAATTATGTGATAATTGTTTATGAATAAAAACATTTAAATAAAAGAAATAATTCAAGGACTTACTGGATATAAAGGTTGGATAAGGATATGGAATATTTTACCGGTAAGTGACTTTATATTGTATGTCTTTATCACGCATGCATATATAATAACTGACACAGTTAATTAACAGTGAACAATATTTTTATATTTAAATTTAATTGAAACAAAATACATATAAATAAATGAACTACATGTATTTTAATATTTCCCATGCTTTTTTAGCTCACCTGTCACAAAGTGACAGGGTGAGCTTTTGTGATCGCTTTTCGTCCAGCGTCCGTCCGGCGTCCGTACGTAAACTTTTACTTTAAATGACATCTCCTCATAAACCACTAAGCCAATTTCATCCAAACTTCACAGGAATGTTCCTTTGGTGGTCACCTTTACAAATTGTTCAAAGAATTTAATTCGATGCCGAACTCTGGTTGCCATGGCAACCAAAAGAAAAAACTTTAAATATCTTCTTTTAAAAAACCCAAAAAGCTAGAGCTTAGATATTTGGCATGAAACATCTTCTAGTGAGTGTCTTACAAGTTTGTTCAAATAAAAGCCCTGGGGTCAAAATTGGCCCCGCCCCAGGGGGTCATTGATTTTCCCTATATGCATATAGTAAAACCTTAAAAAATCTTCTTTTAAAGAATCCAAAGAGCTAGAGCTGAGATATTTAGCATGAAACATGTTCTAATGGGTGTCTACAAAGTTTGATCAAATAAAAGGCCTGGGGTCAAAATTGGCCCCGCCCCGGGGGTCATTGAATTTCCTTATATGTGTATAGCAAAAACTTAAAAAATCTTCTTTGAAAAAACCCATATAGCTAGAGTTTAGATATTAAGCATGAAACATCTTTTAGTGAGTGTCTACAAAGTTTGTTCAAATAAAAGCCCTGGGGTCAAAATTGGCCCCGCCCCAGGGGGTCATTGATTTTCCCTATATGCATATAGTAAAAACTTAAAAATCTTTTTTTAAAGAACCCAAAGAGCTAGAGCTAAGATATTTAGCATGAAACATGTTCTAATGGGTGTCTACAAAAATTGTTCTAAAGTTTGTTCAAATAAAAGCTCTGGGGTCAAAATTGGCTCGCCCGGGGGGTCATTGATTTTCCTTATATGTGTATGGCAAAAACTTAAAAAATCTTCTTTGAAAAAACCCAAATAGCTAGAGTTTAGATATTAAGCATGAAACATCTTCTAGTGAGTGTCTACCAAGTTTGTTCAAATAAAAGCCCTGGGGTCAAAATTGGCCCCGCCCCAGGGGGTCATTGATTTTCCCTATGTGCATATAGTAAAAACTTAAAAAATCTTCTTTTAAAGAACCCATAGAGCTAGAGCTAAGATATTTAGCATGAAACATGTTCTAATGGGTGTCTACAAAGTTTGTTCAAATAAAAGCCCTGGGGTCAAAATTGGCCCGCCCCGGTGGTCATTGATTTTCCTTGTATGTGTATGGCAAAAACTTAAAAATCTTCTTTGAAAAAACCCAAATAGCTAGAGTTTAGATATTAAGCATGAAACATCTTCTTGTGAGTGTCTACAAAGTTTGTTCAAATAAAAGCCCTGGGGTCAAAATTGGCCCCGCCCCAGGGGGTCATTGATTTTCCCTATATGCATATAGTAAAAACTTAAAAAATCTTCTTTTAAAGAACCCAAAGAGCTAGAGCTAAGATATTTAGCATGAAACATGTTCTAATGGGTGTCTACAAAGTTTGTTCTAAAGTTTGTTCAAATAAAAGCTCTGGGGTCAAAATTGGCTCGCCCGGGGGGTCATTGATTTTCCTTATATGTGTATAGCAAAAACTTAAAAAATCTTCTTTGAAAAAACCCAAATAGCTAGAGTTTAGATATTAAGCATGAAACATCTTCTAGTGAGTGTCTACCAAGTTTGTTCAAATAAAAGCCCTGGGGTCAAAATTGGCCCCGCCCCAGGGGGTCATTGATTTTCCCTATATGCATATAGTAAAAACTTAAAAAATCTTCTTTTAAAGAACCCAAAGAGCTAGAGCTAAGATATTTAGCATGAAACATGTTCTAATGGGTGTCTACAAAGTTTGTTCAAATAAAAGCCCTGGGGTCAAAATTGGCCCCGCCCCGGTGGTCATTGATTTTCCTTGTATGTGTATGGCAAAAACTTAAAAATCTTCTTTGAAAAAACCCAAATACGGTAGCTAGAGTTTAGATATTAAGAATGAAACATCTCATAGTAAGTGTCTACAAAGTTTGTTCAAATAAAAGCCCTGGGGTTAAAACTGGCCCCGCCCCAGAGGTGTCATTGTTTTTAACTATATGTGTATAGTAAAAACTTAAAAAATCTTCTTTTAAAAAACCCAATGAGCTAGAGGTTAGATTTTAAGCAGGAAACATCTTTTAGTTGGTGTCTACCAAGTTTGTCCAAATAAAAGCCCTTTTGTTTAAATTGGCCCTGCCAAAGTGGGGGGGGAGGGCATTGTTTTTCATTATATGTGTGTAGTAAAAACTTAACATCATGAAACATCTTCTAATGGGTGTCTTCCAAGTTTGCTCAAATAAAAGCCCTGGGGTTTAAACTGGCCCCGCTCCGGGGGCCTATATACAGGTGAGCGACCTCAGGGCCATCATGGCCCTCTTGTTCTTGAATAAGACTATATTTTTGAAGCGTTTTTAACCACAGGCGTACGGCACATTTGCTATGTCAATAATGGTCAAATTATCATAAAATAAACACCCCTTGCTCATCAACAACACAATTAATATCCAGCACCCGTTTGCTATTTAATATATACAAGGTATGTAACTTGACATAGCGTATTCACCTGATACTGTCATCATTTTCCTCTCGCATTTTAAATATAAGAAAACCAGTGACTTCCATACCAACAATATTGACTTTCCATAGCACCCACTGACTACATATTAACTATTTAATTTCTTTAGCAACCATTGATTTCCACAGAAATTATTGACTAACCGAAGAACTTGTAACTTTCATTGCTTCAATTGACTTACCTTAGCAACCATTTACTTTCCATAGCCACAATTGTATTTCAGAGCAATTACTGGCTTCCAAAATAGCAATTTAATGTTTTAGCAAGAAGTGACTTCCAAAGCAACCATTTTCTTTCCAAAGCAGCCTGTAAATTGAAAAAACAACATGTAATTAATTTACTTAGCAACCTGTGTTTTTACAACCATTGACTTTCCACAAGGAATTTCATAAGTAACAAGTTTTGTAATTACAATTCTGCTATTTATACTGTTAGAAAATATTATCTTTTGAATCATTTATCATTTCTTCTTCTCTTTCAGAAAATGAGCTTCAGTAAAACTACAGTGACAATATTGACAACGAACTTCAACGCTTCTAAGAGAATTTAATATAAAAACTTGACATCTGGTTTCTGGTATTACAGAAACTTACACAAAAGGAAATCTTCCTGGCCTTATTGGAAACAGACTAGCTGACTTATGCAACAGTTATACAATTCACCTTTTTCTTAATTGGGAATTTTCGTGTAAAATGAAATTAACAAAATGATTGATTATTAACATTTTTGTTAACTCTGACAAAGCAAATACTACTAGTCTTATATCTTTTGAATTTCTGTATTATAGTTTATTATATTATTATATATTATTATAAATTTTAAATTTGCCCCCCCCCCCCCCTTCGAAGAATTGTTTTGCTAATGTTGCTCTGTCTGTCGGCAGACCACATCGTTTCCGCTGATTATCTTGAATTTATTTATAACAAAGTCTTCATATTTCACATAGTGATTGGCCATAACTAGCAGATGACCCCTATTGATTTTGGGGTCATTAGGTTAAAGGTCAAGGTCTCCGGGGCCTTAAATATCAGAATGGTTTCTGCTGATTATCTTAAAAACTATCTATCACAGTCTTCATATATTACATTGTGATTGAGAATAACTGTTAATTGACCAATATTGATTTTGAGGTCACAAGTCATATGGGCCTTCAATGTCAGAATGGTTTCCGCTGATTATCTTGAAAACTATTCATCACAGAGTCTTCATATTTCACATAGTGATTGGTCATAACTAGTAAATGACCCCTATTGATTTTGGGGTCATTTGGTCAAAGGTCAAGGTCACAGGAGCCTTCAATGTCAGAATAATTTCCGCTTATTATCTTGGTTACTATTATCCCAAAGTTTTCATATTTTACATATTGATTAGACATAACCAGTAGATGATCCCTATTGATTTTGGGGTTACTAGATCAAAGGTCAATGTCATTGGAGCCATAAATATTAGAATGGTTTTGGCTCATTATCTCAATAACAATTTATCAAAAGGTCTTCATATTTCATATATTAACTGGCCATAACTTGCAAATGACCCCTATTGATTTTCGAATCACCAGGTCAAAGATCAAGGTCACAGGGTCCTTGAATAGTAGTATGATTTCAGCTCTTATCTTGAAAATTATTTATCACACCAGTCTTCAAATGTCACTTACTGATTGGTCATAACTAGTAGATGATCCCTGTTGATTTTGGGGTCACTAGTTCAAAAGGCAAGGTCACAGGGGCCTTCAATGTCAGAATTATGTCCGCTTATTATCTTGGTCACTACATGTATTTATCACAAAGTTCACATGGTCCTTGAATGTCATTATCTTGACAGCTATTTATCGCAAAGTCTTCATATTTCACATATTGATTGGTCTTAACTAGTAGATGACCCTTATTAATTTTGGGAGGTCAAAGGTCAAGGACACAGGTGCCTTAAATGTTTCTGCTCATTATCTTGAAAACTATTTATCACAAAATCTACATTTTTTACTTTTTTCCTTAACTGAACACTTCCATGTACCCATGTATGGCAAATTTCTATAACAAAATTACCAATAATGTGATTCAAAAGCTAGAAACAGGCCGGCATACATTGCTTAAAGGCCCAATAGGCTCCAAAGAGCGACTTTCTCGTAAGGTTTTCATTTTTCCGTCGTCACTTTTTGCAATATTAGTTGACTATCTTTTTTCTTCTTTTGCAATAGATGTATGTTTTATTTCAGTGATTAAGTGTTTTGTATTGAAAAAAAAAATTATACCCATGTTTGACATTTCAGAAAGACTGAAAAAAATATTATTTCTATATCTGAGTCATTATACGTGTGGCTTTAAGAGAGATTACAAGTTTGTACATAATCTTTTTGCTTTGCAAACCCATGTTCTAGTCAGTTTTGATAGTTTTGTATAAGTTGATCTACTGTAGAGATGTATAATTATAGTTATACCGGCTATTACCGGGTTTAGTTTTAAGCTACTGTAATGTTGTCTTGTTTGTCAAATTATCATCTTTACTATATTTATATTTAGGGAACAGGACATATGACATGTATGTATAAAATATTATGACGTCAAATATGACGTCATTTCATCAAAAATGTTGTTCAGCACATATTTATATGTTTACATATTTTATTTGCTCATGTTTTGTATATTATACTATGTGAGTGTTGATGTAAATAAATTGAAATTGAGATATTGACAATCTAATACATGAATTGAGTAAAATCATATTATGTGAGCTTCTGGTGAGCATAATATTATTTTAGTCAACGAGTCCGATAAAATTAGTACTGAACCAACACGAATAAATAGAGGTTTTTAAGGGTATTTTTCTTTCTGTTAATACAGATTTTTTTTTCAGCCAGCGATATGAAAATTTATTATATACTTTTAAATGAAATATTGAAAAATATTGATGAAATAAAATGCGTATTTTCATTTTCGGTATTTTCACTGTAAAAATTTATTTTTCACTGCAGTGAAACATATTTTCCGTATTTTCACTGGTGTCTTGTCGGACTACTTTCTTTTAAATTCTGCCAGTACTCAAAATTTAAGGGAAAGTCTTTCAAATTTTAATGTCCAGAAAGAGAAAAATGTATATAATAAACAGAAAATTCAAGTTTTTTCTAAAAATACATGATTTATTTTCATCGTGTGGCATGAAAATTACCATATTTCACTCGTAGCTTCCGCCACTCATGAAATATTTATTTTCATACCACTCGATGAAAATAAATCATGTATTTATAGAAAAAACTTGAATATCCTCTATTTACAATCTCCCACGCAGTGGTCTCCCCTTACAGGATGAGGTCTCTGCCACCACAATATTTTTGTCTGGATTTTTGACGATATGATTTTTTTTCATTTTTGATATTCATTTAAAAAAAACACCTTATTGTTAATGTTTAAAGACTGTTAGGTGTTAGATGTGAGCTAAAATAAAAAGAAAATATTTCTGAAACATAAATTCTGTGAAAATGTTTTATATAAATGCTTTACTGCAATATTCTTTAATTCTTCTTCACTGAATTTGACATTAATTTAGAATAGGTTGTTATCAGTCATTTTAACCTGGCATAGTGAAGTTTTGAAGGGGTTGTAGATCTATCATAGAATCAGCTAGTCCGTTTGGTGGTCTGGCTAGCTGTATTCTTTTGACCGGACGTTAACACATAAGTATAACAGGAATGAAATCCAAACTTCATATTTGGATAAATCTCTACCATATTTTAAATTATCCTTTGTGCTTTCGTACTTAGTTTTTGTCAGGAGCATATCTGAAAAAATGTAAGATGTATCATCATTAAACTTAATAGATGAACATTGATCCGTGCGGAAGAGTGCAGTACTTAATGATCCATAACTTTCTATTGCATAATGAGGAGTAACTGCTTTGCACTTAGTTAACTTAACGGTGGTCCGGGCGTAACCGGAAAAGGTTTGCGCTTTATGCATAGAAATTCACAGATAAATTTATATAATTCATTCAGGAAAAGAACTTTAGACTCATATCTTTCTTCTCCATATATTTTGAGTTATTGTTTGTCTGACTTTTTCATATTTAGTTTCCTCTGGAGGTTAACTTTCAAGGTGTTGGATTTAAGAACTTGAAAATAATCATATATAGAAAAATCTTATTCAGGTAAATGCAGTGTATGAGAAAGCTTCTTGCTTACGGAAACAATTGGCTTTCCCATGATGGGGTTTGAACGCACGTGCCCAGCAATCTTTAAAGTAGTAGTTCGGCGTTTTACCCGCTTAACCACTCCGCCCTTTAATTATTTTAGATTTATTGCCCATTGTAAATGTGCATAGTTTACATTATGCCGGACAAAACTGTCATATATATGTAATTGAAAGTATATACATAAAACGTCTTTGGTAGATATATTTTATTGAGGAATATGCAGTATCCAACAAGCATTACTCTCATTTGCATAATTGTGTAGTTATAGCCCTTTGTTGGTTATAATAAATTTCATTTATAGCATAACAAAGTCAAGTGGAAATGATGTACGAACATGAAAACTTCATAATATCCTTCAGGCATAACATCTTTTAAGGGTATTTTCTTAACTGGGCACTTACGAACTTTCGCTATACGTCTATGCAATATTTCAATAGAGCGGAAGTCAGTGCGCGAGCATGCGCTTTGCCATATCTCGTTCAGTTACCGCTCACGTTTTAAATCGGTTGCTATGAAGCGACACTAAGTGTACATGGCTTTTACAACTAAAATATCAGACAAACACATTAAAGCAATACACATAAACTACACATTGTTGTTTTCCATATTAATATTTTGCATTTGAAACTGAAAGTCAAACAAATATCTCAATATACTTACTGATTTAATGAATTGTTTACATGTGATGACAGCAACGCTGTGTGTTAGTTTACTTTCGGTTCAGAAAATTCATTTGTTTACCATCAAAACTCATATGTTTACCATAGGAACCATATATTGATAGAAAGCAAATTAAACAAAGGTAAAGAAAAAATTGTCCGTTTCTGAACAAAAAATCGAATAAATAAATACAAAGTCTTTTTAAAAGGTCCCTTCTTTGAGTTCATTTGAAAGGGGAATAATTTGGTGGAATTTTAGACAGGGAAACAGGGAGTTATCTTTCATGGCTAGGAAATATGGCCGACTGAAATTATGCAAGCAAGTTTGTAAGTGCTGGGAGAGAGGTTTCGTTTGTAATTATACAACTTTTTGTAGAGTTGATGTTGTCATAATATTAAGATATTATTACAATAAAATGAGATATATGCTGGCTTAATTTTAGAAAGACATGTTTCAAAGGTTTGTGAAATTATGGTTAAATACCTATATGCATGATATTAACAACAAACTGTATACTTGTATTTAATGAACACTTTATATATCATAATATTGAAATGTAATATTTAAATTATAGGAAAATTCTGTTCTTGTATTAGAATTAAGATATAGACATTAAAATCATTGAAGGGAGATAACTATGTACGAGTACATTTGTTATTATATATATAGTATGATAATTATGATGTCACTACTGATTGCACCTGAAGTTTTATTTATGAATAAATGTTCAATGCTTATATTATGTCATAATGTTTATATTTAATGAAATTAAAATTGTGAAACAACATTGATGTTTTAGTAATCATATACACAAATGTACATTAATTTTATTCCTTGTGACAAACTTTAAAGTCTGAAGCTGTACACCATTTTTGTTAATAGGTGTCCAAACTGGGGGGAAATAATCATAACGTGGCACCAGTACTGGTAAGTCAAGACAGTAAAGTACACGCAAGATTTATAACTTTAAGCTTCTTATAAACTG